GCTGACTTAGTATCTCACAAAATGTATTTATACATTCAGTAAAAAGTAACATAAATGAATTATTTTGGAAAAAGTAGTTGAGTAGTTGTGAGGTAGCTTATCAAAGTTTGGTTCCAGATTTCTCCTCAGTGCTGCCAACCATTGCTTACTTTGCTAAATGCCTTTGGCTGTGATGATGACAAATAGAATAAAATGCCCCATGACCAGACATTAGTCGATGAGTAGTTGCTAGGAAACCAAGTGGTTTTTAGATCACTTCCTGCCTGTAACATTATGTGTGAGATGCTTTAACTCTTTAACTCCTAAGATTCCTAAGTTTGTGACCTTCTTGCATTGAGTGTTCAAATGGCAGAGAACAATCTTGCCTCATTTATATGTTTATAGCAACACAGGTCAAAATCTGTTGCCTACATTTTATTTATTTATTTATTTATTTATTTATTTATTTATTTATTTATTTTTTACATAGTGATCACGGGTCGGTCAGAGCTGTCTTCAAGCCCAGATGGTCATGCACTGTGGTTATATTAATAGTGCTAACCACATCCTCAGACATCAGTTTAAAATGCTCTTCATTGTCATCTGACAAGTAGAGGAGAGGTAAGAGTTTGAGAAAATATTTCTGATATTTTTTTTTTATTCAGTTGAAGTTGCAGTAAGAATTATCATTCTTTAGAAATATAAGTAAACAAATAGCATTGAATTTGAATATTTTACAAAATAATACCATTTCTATATGTTCATTTAATGTAAATATGTCAGGTTATAACTTTTCTGGTATCGTCAAGAAACATACCTTTCTTTACCTGTTCGGAAATCTAACTGAATTTGTGTAAATGCTTGTCATTTGCTTCAATATTTTACATACAGTCATGTGAAGAAGTAAGTACATGCCATGAAATGTTCAGACTCTTTCCACCATGTTTGGAGATACATAGAATGAACATCTTTTTGGCCTTTATAGAATTGGAATAAATAGTAATACAGTTTTCTTATGTGGAAAAAGTAAGTGTATTCCTATGTTTATCACTACAACAAACGTGTCAAATTGAAATTGGGTCAGCCTGATCAGGTGTTGATGATTAGAATATAAGTTCGTGAAAATCTCGGAACAGCTTGTCTTATTTAAATCTCAAGTATCTGCTCTGTTTGTCATTTGCTATTGGATTGCTTCATCATGCTTAGATCCAAAGAGTTCTCATAGGGATCTCTAAGAATCAAAAAATTTAATCAGAAGATCTGCAGGTAGCTTTTGCCACTGATTATTTACAGTTATATCTTCCATTTGAAAAAGTCTTTACAAACTTGACCTACATTGGAGGTGTGTTAGGAGGAAGCCTTTGGGGTCAAAAAACATCATCAGGGCAAGACTAATATCTAGGCATCTGAAACGAAAAAAGAAAAGAAAATTGAAGCTGAAGAAGTGGACCTTTCAACAGGATAAATATACAAGTAAACCAACAAGGAATGGCTAAAAAGGAAGAAATTGAGTGTGGAAAGGTCTAGTCAAAGCCTAGATGTCAGAAACTGGTAGACAGTTTTAGGAAGTGGCTACATAAAGTTGCCTCTGTCAGTGGGGGCAATACCAGTTACTGAAGCCAGGGTATTGCCAGGGGTGTACTCACATTTTCAACAGACAAAAATGACTTTTTTGTGCTATTACATAACGTCTATATATACTGTTTAACTGACGATCAAATGTCAAAAAAAAATCATGGGGTGTACTTACTTCTTCACAGGACTGTAGTAAATAAGCGTTTGGTTTACATTTTACATATTACTGTGTAAACATCTTAAATTATATATCATATGTCTCGTTCTTACCAGTATATGCATAACTTTACTGACAGCAGCACATTTTATTTCATTTTACCTTGTTTTTTGAACATTTGTATCTGGTTTGACATTACACAGGGTTATAATAATGTCATATCGAGCTTCTGCTGATATACACAACTTCAAAACTATTTATGACTTTCAAAGACTTTTGCACAGCAATATCAGACCAGGGCTCTATGTATGTGTTTCATATTTGCATTAGATGATAAATTATGATTTTGTGATTCAGCTGACAGAACAATCATGATTTTTGTCAATTAAAGTGGCGTCTTTATGAACTGGTGTGATGTCAGTCAGGATGGTGTCCATTCCGTATCACCACCTCCTTTTCCTCATTCTGCTAACACCAGGTTAGTGAATGCTCCTCCAACTCTGTGAACATCTACAAGTTACTTCATATTACAAAATTTCAAATGAACACAGTCCCCCATCTGGAACATTCCAAGTAATACATCTACTAACATAAGTGATGTGAAATATATAAGGTAGTGTTACAGTGCCTTTATGATGGAATTAAAATTGTCGCAGGTGAATAGAAACTACAGTAAAATAACTTTTCCAGATCACTTTTATATTTGTGTATATTTTACACAATTATTATTTTTATTATTATACAGTGTAATCTTTTGCACAATATTATAAGTTGAATATTATTATGACTTGTTTAAGCCTTATCGAGCCAATAACTTTTGTGTCTATAGTCAGAGATGAATAAATGACTGGGTCATTGGAGACAGCGCTCAAAGGGTCTTAGGGATGCCAAATCAAGTCATGAATACCAGTCCAAAGTTCATTGCCTAATAAGATAAACGAAATGAAGAAATGTTACCATTTTTGTCATGTGCTTTTTCCATGTCAGTTATTCTTGGCTTGTGTGATATTTTTATCATCAGGATGCTTGGGCAGATCTAGGGATGGGGCAACAGTGGGCACTGGCCCTAGTAAATAATTGACTGGCCCCATAAGTGTCCCTCTGCTGTCACAACTTAAAGGCATGATATTGATTTATACGCAAACCTGTTTGCCTTTCAGCAAAAGACAAGCAGCAACTATTTCGTTTTTGTCTGTAGAACATCTGAATTTATGTGGGCTGGAGTTAAACAGCCATCTACAAGTTACTTCATGAGAGATAATCTTCGAGGTCCAAGCACCACCTGCCTCATGCAGTCAGTACAGGCCTGTTTGCAGATCAAACAATATAATGCATTTATAATTAAAATGGCCTCTACTGATAATTTTTGAGGAGAAGGCAAAAGCAGCAAAATTTTTGCACACGCAAACCTTTTGACCTTGTAATTGTAGGCATAGGTTTTTAACAAATGACTAAATACTTTGAAGGCAGTACAATTTTTACGTGACTTAAATTGGCATAGTTGTTGAACTCAATGAACTGTTCAAAAGCCAGGTGACAAAGCAAGAGTCAAAACAGGGAAACCACTAAACATTGTCATCATCATCATTAACCACTTAATCTAGGTAGGGTCGCAGTAGCAGTAGGGAGAGCAGAGAATCCCAGACGATCCTGTCCCCCGCAACCTTCTCCAGCTCACTCCCAGGGACCCCAAGCTGCTCCCAGGCCAACTTGGAGATATAATCCCTCCAGCGGGTCCTAGGATGACCTCAGGGTCTTGTCCCGGTAGGCCATGCCTGGTATACCCCCACTGGGAGGGGTCCAGGGGGTATCCGGATCAGATGCCCGAACCACATCTACTGGCTCTGCTCAATGCGGAGGAGTAGCAGCTCTACTCCGAGCTCCTCCTGGATGACCGAGCTCCTCACCCTATCAAATAGAGTGTAGCCCGCCACCCTGCGAAGAAATCTCATTTCTGCATTCGCGATCTCATTCTTTCAGTCCTTACCCACAGCTCATGACCATAGGTGAGGGTTGGGATGTAGACCGACCGGTAAACAGACCTCTTCACCACTACAGTCCGGTACAGTGACAGCATTATTGCTGCCACCTGTCCCAGCCTGCGGCCAATCTCAGGATCCCTCTTCCCATCACTCGTGAACAAGACCCCGAAATACTTAAACTCCTCCACCAGGGGCAAGTCCTTTTCCCTTACCTGGAGAGGGCATGCCATCCTTTTAATGGCTAGGACCATGGATGCATACTTGGAGGTGCTGATCCGCATACCGCTTCACACTCAGCTGCAAACCGCTCCAGTGAGCGCTGGAGGCATCCATGTGATCTAGCCAAAAAACCAACATCATCTGCAAATAGCAGAGACGCCACCCTCCGGCCTCCATACATTGACACCCTGTCCATCAATATCACAAACAGGAGTGGAGACAAGGAACAACCCTGGTGGAGTCCAAGACTAACACTGGAAGAGTCTGACTTAATGCCGAGCATACGAACACAGCTCTCACTCCGAGAGTACAGAGGTTGAATGGCCCAGAGTAGTAACCCTGGCACCCTATACTCCTGGAGGACCTCCCACAAGATATCTCGGGGAACATGGTCGTAAGCCTTCTCCAAGTCCAGAGGATCCGACCCTTTCTCATTCGAGAGGCCACCCAAGTGCTAGTGCAGTCTCTTGTCATCTGAAGGCTTGACTACTGCAACTCGCTCTTGGCTGGTCTTCCAATGTAGACCATCAAGCCTCTGCAACTCATCCAGAATGTAGCAGCGTGGCTCATCTTCAATCTCCCCAAGTTCAGCAACGTCACCCCACTGCTGCGCTCCCTTCACTGGCTTCCTGTAGCTGCACGCATCTTTAAAACCCTTATGCTTAGGGCTCCCGAGTGGCGCAACCGTCTAAGCGTTGGCCCTATCATCAGGAGATCGCGAGTTCGATCCCTGGTGATGCTACAGCCATCCGTAGCCGGGAGTCCGAGAGAGTACAATTGGCCTCGCTCTCTCTGGGTGGGTAGGATGGCCCCCCCTTCTCCCCCCATCACTCAGCGCGATGCTAGTCAGCGCAGGCGTCTGTTAGCTGACGTAACAGATCTGGCGGTTGGCGCTTTCCTCCGAGCGCGTTCGGCTGTCCAGTGACGTTGCATGAGCGGCAGTTCGAAAAGAAGTGGTGGTTGGTTTCACAGGTCTCGGAGGAAGCCTGTGTTAGCCTTCACCCTCCTAGCGTTGATAGCATCGTGTGTTTGGGGGAGTCCTAACTAGCGGGTGGAATTGGAGACCAGCCCCTCCCTACTTGATGGCAATGGTGAAATCGCGAGCTGTTCCACGAGCCCTTCAAGCTTCGAGTACAGCTCGGCTTGACCCGCCATCCTTCAAGGCGCCCGGAAGGTAAGTATTAAGACTGTTTTCTGTGCTGGCACCCAGGTGGAACGAACTCCCACTCGCTGTCCATACAGCAGAGTCTCTCGCTGTCTTCAAACGCAGACTGAAGACACATCTCTTTATACAGCACTTAAATGAGCACTGAATTAAGTATTGATTATGTATTGTACTGCACTTATGTATTGTATTGTATTGCACTGCTCTGTGTTTTTTCTAGGTGTCAATAATGACTTTCTGATTCTAGCAGTATCTGAGCTCAGGACTGGCTTTCTCTCTAACCTACTGGTAACTAGCAAAGATACTTTCTCTGGATAGACAAAGCACTTTTTGTATGTTGCTCTGAATAAGAGCGTCTGCTAAATGCTGTAAATGTAAATGTAAGTCCACAAAACACATGTAGACTGGGTTGGCAAACTCCCCTGCACCCCTTTAACAATCTGTGAGAGGGTGAAAAGCTGATCCATTGTTCCACGTCCGGAAAGGAATCCGCGTTGTTCCTCCTCAATTCAACTATCGGTCAAAGTCTCCTTTCCAGCACCTTGGGATAGACTTTCCCAGGGAGGCTGAGCAATGTGACACCCCGGTAGTTGGCACACACCCTCCGGTCCCCTCTCTTAAAAATAGGGACCACCACCCCAGTCTGCCAGTCCAAGGGTACTGTTCCCAAGGTCCATGCAATATTGCAGAGACATGTTAGCCATGACAGCCCCACAATATCCATAGCCTTAAGCATCTCCAGATGAATCTCATCCACCCCCGTTGGGGAGGCATGTCTCCTGGATTAAGGAGCTCCTCAAAGTGCTTCTTCCACCGACCGACAATATTCTTATTTGAAGTCAGAGTTTCTCCACCCCTGCAGAATACAGCTTGGGCGAAGCCACCCTGACCGCTTCTGAGTCGCTAAACAGTTGTCAGAACCACCTTGAGGCCGACCGAAAGTCTTTTTCCATGGCTTCACCAAACTCCTACCACACCCTGGATTTTGCTTCAGTCACCATTACCGCTTAAAGCTTTTTTGCCTGTCACGAGTCCTTTGGGCCATCCAGTCCCTGAAGGCCTCTTTCTTCAGCCTCTTTCTTCATGGCCTCCCTCATCACCGGTGTCCACCAGGGGGTTCTTGGGTTACCACCCTGACAGGCAACCACATGCTTTTGGCCATAGCTAAGCCTGGCAGCATCCACAATGGAGGTTTTTAACAGGGTCCATTCAGACTCCATGTCTCCTACCTCCTCCGGGATATGAGAAAAGCTCTTCTGTAGGTGGAAGTTAAAATCATTCCGAACAGGGGCCTCCGACAGTCTTTCCCAGCACACCCTCACTATTCGCTTGGGCCTACCGGGTCTGACCATCAGTGTTCCCTGCCAGATGGTGATCAGTTGACAGCTCAGCACCTCTCTTCACCTGAGTGTCCAGAACATATGGTTCCAAGTCAGATGAAACGACAACAAAGTCAATCATTGACCTTTGACCTAAGGAGCTCTGGTACCATGTACACTTATGAACATCCTTGTATTCGAACTTGGTGTTCATTATGGACAATCCATGCCTAGCACAGAAATCCAATAACAATTCACCATTCGGGTTTAGATCAGGCAGGCCTTTCTTCCCAATCACCAAGTCAAACATGGCTTAGCACTGAAATAGACATAACAGAGACTTCGGAAAACCCTAGCCCAAACAAAGGAAGAAATATAAAAGTTAAAGGGTCATTGGATTAGCTACAGGTATGCATGGTTCATTGTGGGTGGAGCTTGAGTTGAAGTGAGCCAAAAGAAAATGGGAGACTCCATGTGCTGACGCTCTGTGGTCAAATTACATGTTCTGTTGATTTTAATGAAAAATAAAATGCGTAATTTTATATGTATTGTTTTATGTTTCTCTTTAAGGTAAATTCAGCAAAAGAACAAAAATTGTCCAGTATGTGTAGAAAATTATTTAAGTGCGTTATCTTCAGAGGTTATTAAGGATTAACTTCTTTTTACTTGGAAAATCATCAAAATATTTAGTTTGACCAAGGGTTCCAAAACATTTTCATACTGCTGCAAATACCATGAATTGCACTAACCAATTCATTTCTTTTACAGTTTTAATTTTTCTGATAAGCACTTTTTTTTTTCAGGAGATTCTGCTCAAAAGAATAATGCCAGTCATGCGCCTCTAAAACAGTGTGCTCTGAATGGGTCATCTGTGGGTATGAAGAAAATTCTGTTTATTTGAAAAAGAGAAAACAGCTTTTTCAGTTTGTATAAATAGATCATTATGGAATTAAATAGATCAAAGTCTTACAAAAACCCACTGAGGCTTGGACTACGTGTTGAGTGGCAGCACCCAATAAAACCCTTAAAATATTGATAGGCAGGTCAGAAATATCATTCTTTGACATAAGCAGAAAACATCAAAAGCATGTCTTTCTACTACTTCCAGAACTCCGTGTGAATATTCCTGGGAGCGTGGTAGAAGGAACAGCAGCGATTCTCATGTGTCAAACCACCTGCAGTCTGACTGACCCAACATTCATCTGGTACAAAAATGGACGTCCTTTAACCACAAAGACCATCAAGAACAACCAGCTCCACCTGCAGACAGTCAGCAGTGAGGATGCAGGCAGTTATAGCTGTGCTGTAAGAGGATATCAACATCTCCACTCTACTGCTCATAACCTCAGAGTCAGATGTGAGTATTTTTATATTTTTTTATCCTTAACAATGAAGACACTTTTATACTTTGTTCATCTAATCATAGACTTTAACCGAACTGATCTTAAGGTGCCAAAGGTCCGTAATGTGCAAACAGTATTGGATAGCTTTTTTTTTACTGAACATTGCTAAATAAAACTGACTTCCGGTTGGATAAAACATGTCAGAGCAGAAGTTGCATGCTGACTTGAGCTGTCATGACAGTTTATGTCAAGTAGTATAACAGTTGGTTTCCTTTTTGAAGTCAATGCAGTTTGTCACATTTTTGTTTTTTTTTGCCAAGGCTGGGCTGATACTACATGATTTTTAAAATCTCAACAGATTTCTTAAAAGGAGGCACAAACTTACAAACTCAAACATCACAAACTTACTGTCAGGTTGTCACAGAATGTTTTTGTGAGTACATTAACACTAGACAACAGAGCAGAGGTTTAGGCTACAAATCAGAACTCAAATTCCAAGATCTCCTCAAATATCACACGACACAAACAGAGCTGAACTTACTGGACTGGACTGGACCGGACCTGTTTGTCCTTTTATGTGTAGCACAAGTGCAAACTGGGGATTAAAATGTGGTTGTGAACTGCTGATTTCACACTGTGAGCTGGATAAATAAATTGAATGAATTTGTCAGTGTAACTCTGTTATCAGATTAACTAGAACACTGTTGTCTCTCTGTGTGTGAAATGTTGTGACTCTGCAATGTGAGATGAAAGGGGAGGGGTGAGAACCCCTGCTGTGAAAAACAATTCACACCTCTTTAAACAGACAGCCGTGCAGAGACAAAACTAACAGCAATAAATTGGGTACAACTGACACACAAAAATAGCATTTAAACACAATAAAACATGCTTATAAATAGTGACTTCCTCGATTATCTACTGAGATGAAAAGTTTTTTGAACTAGAACTAGAACTTTTAGAACCCAACTAGAAGTGGTTAAGAGGTTAACCTATACACATTTCCATTGTAAAATGTGTTATTAATGTTATTGTAGATATTGCATATTCAAACCAAGGAACCGCCAAAACAGGTGGAATTTGCATTCATTTACTGTGAAAAAGCATTCATTTCATGGCTACTTAAAACTTTGCATAAGAAGTCCTGCACATTTAAAAAGGCACTCGTATTAATTCTTATACAAATCATATCCATTTTATCATGTGCACTCAAAGAGTTAAAAAAGGTGTAGAGTTGTAGAGGTTAACACTTGCAAACACTTTATATAGTGAAACTTCATACCCTGAACAGTTTAATGCATGACCAAATGAATTTCTCAAACACTTCCGTGTGCATCTGTTCCTCTGGTGAAATAGTGGAGGGCAGTTTAGCGACTCTGACCTTCCACAGTGATGCAAACCCAACTGTGAAGATCTACACTTGATCCCTCACTTAGCTGTACAGGGAATGTAGTCATGTAACCTTAGTGGTGCTGTGGATCTAGGCAATAATATCATTTGGATACTTTTTCTTTTATTTTATTTATTTTTTCCTCAACTTTCTCTCCAATTCCACCCACTAGTTAGGACTCCCACAGTCACACCATACCACTAGTCTTCCTCTGAGATCTGTGAAGCACCACCACATCTTTTTAAACTGCCACTTTCCCCAGAGCTGAATGCGCTCAGAGGAAGGCGTCAACTGCCATTTCCTTTACATCAGCTAACAGACGCCTACACTGACTGGCATTGCAGTGTGTGATGGGAGGGATGGGGAACCATCCTACCCACCCAGAGAGAGCGAGGCCTATTGTGCTCTCTTGGAGCATTGAACTTGCAATCTCCTGATGAGTTTTCAAAGATGCCGCTTTGACAGGTGCACCACACAGGAGCCCCAAGCTCAAAATAACTCAAATAAAACTCAAATAAATTAATTCTGTTGTACATAAAACTCAGTATATCCCACATTTTGCCCAACAATTTTAGGGTAAAGGAATGTTTTGATGATTTTGTACAGTCAAATGGCATTTTTGAGTTGAGTTAACTTATTGTTATTTAGTCTGTTGCTATGGCAACTTTGAAACCCCACCTTCAAAAAATGATGACATTCCTGTTGGTTTTAATTTTCTAGTTTCTTTCTCATTAAAATTGCTAAACAAATGTGTGAAACCAAGTGAAACTAAGTAAGCTGTAAACCATAGTTACATGTTTGTTTTGTAAACACAATCTTGTTAGATAAAATGGATATTCTTTCCCATTGACTCCTGGCTGGGCATTTGTTTTGGTGAGTGGTCATGTTCAAGGTTAACCCTTCTATGTTTGGAAAGTGGTCAATATTACTTAATTAGAAAAAAAGTTTCCTCATTTTTAAGTAAATTCAACTTATCCAGGCTTACAGTGTAGTTTTAATTGCTAGTATTTTTTGTAAACAAACTTTTTTTCCTCATTTGTGATGGCAGACCATACAAAGAGCGTCTCAGTGTCCATCCATCCTTCTGGTGAAATAGTGCAGGGCAGTTCAGTGACTCTGACCTGCAGTAGTGATGCAAACCCACCTGTGGAATGTCAGTGGTTTAAAGAAACATCATTACTAGTGAAAGAAAAGAACTACACAATTACCAATGCCAGCTCTGTGGACAGTGGAGAATACAAGTGCAAGTGCATTAATGAACATGGAGAGAGATACTCTGAAGCTCTAACTCTGGATGTTTTGTGTAAGTGCATGTTTACTTGTTCCAGTTGTGTAATCTGTATCTTGTAGCAATTCTCCTTTATAAAGGTCTATTGTTAGTGATGATTAGATCACACTGCTGTTATTCTCTGATTTCTAGATCCAACAAAGAGCGTCTCTGTGTCCATCAGCCCCTCTGGTGAAATATTGGAGGGCAGTTCAGTGACACTGACCTGCAGCAGTGATGCAAACCCTCCTGCACAGAACTACACCTGGTTTAAAGAGAGTGGAACCTCACCTGTAGGATCTGGACAGAATTACAGCATCTTCAACATCACTGCTGACCACAAGGGGTGGTATCACTGTGAAGCTTGGAATAAGCTTGGAAGTCCAAAGGCATCTGCAGCTTTATTTTTACATCCAGGTCAATGTTTTAGCCTTTTAAATTATTAGAGAATGAGCCTTTTAATTTAATTAATTTTTTGGTTAATTAATTTTGGGGCAGTCGTGGGCTAGAGGTTAGGGAACCAGCCTTTTGACCAGAAGGTCGCCGGTTCGATCCCCTGAGCCGACAGTACACGACTGTGGTGCCCTTGAGCAAGACACCCTAACCCCCAACTGCTCCCTGGGCACTGCGGGTAGGGCTACCCACCTTTCTGGGCAAGTGTGCTCACTGCTCCCTAGTGTGTGTGCTCACTAGTGAGTATGTGGGTGTTTCACTGCATGGATAGTTAAATGCGGAGGTGAAATTTCCCCATTGTGGGACTAATAAGGGTCACTTAATCTTAATTAATTAGCCTGAATGAATGTGGTGTTTGTAACAGCCGCCTAGCTGCAACATCAAAACTGAGATGGTTTGTGTTTCTGATTTCCAGGTCGCAGTTACACAACAGTGTTTGTGATTGTGGGACTAGCCTGTATTGGAACTGTGATCACTGTGTGCTTTGTCTATCTGATGATCAGATGGGCTAAACGAACAGTTCAGGTAAGCATCTGAAAAAAACTTCTGTACTACATTCGTGGCTCATAATGTACCTCATGGTTGTTACAACCTCGATTTCAGGGGTGGTTTGATTGCCCTTAGTCTAAAGCATGGGTTCTCTATCTTGACCCACCTCCAAGTGTTGCTGTAGAAACAGTAATTCATGGATAGAGCTGTTTAAAACCACTCAAGAAAAGTGGTGGAACTTCAAAAAAATATATAAATCATGTATACAAGGGTTTTTCTTTAACCTTATGCTCCAGAGTATATTTTGGTTTGTCCATCTGAGTTTATATGACCAAATTTTAAGGCAAATTATTCAGTAACTGCATGAAATAAATGTAAAATTTTATTTTAGTAATATATTTATTTTTGGTAAAAGCTCCCCTCAAATTAACAGAACATGTTTTATGATCATACACATATTAATATACATACAATTTACTGCTGAAGGCCAAAAATCTTTGACCCTCTTTGTATTATTTCATAAAAATAATTTTTACAGAGTAGATCACTGAAGAGACGCCATCTATTTATAGTTTATAGCCCAGATTTGTGGAAAAATGGATCGAATTTCAGTAGACAAAAAATTGTGTGTTCAGCTTCTTTTATTGTAAGGGTTTAAAATTACATCATATTTGACTGGAAACAAGACATTTACAGCTCTCATATGACACCCACCTTTTGAATGTAGCTTATGAAATATGAAAGTTAATAAGAATATGACGAAGTGTGTTTTGGAACCAGCTGTGGTTCCAAGGAGCATAAGAGGCTACACTTTAGGGTAGCTTCTTAGCACATCCAGCATCTATTAGCATAGAAACAATTGTTACTCTGTTTCATGTTGTTTTGTTCTTTTTGGGATCCTTTTGGTTTAGACTCTTAAAAAAAAAGTACCACTTCATATTAAGTGTCTCTAATAATTGTGTAGTTACACATGGATAACATATGCAACACTATAACTACTGATGATTTAGTCAGTGTTACAGATGGATTACAGAAGTACAGCCTATGTAAATACACCTGTATCAACTTGTACATGTTTTGCCTCATGTAATTACACAAGTGTATCTTCTACATAGGAACTTTTCTGTAGTGCAGTGTTAAAGTTACACTTTAAAATAAGTGGACAGTTCCTGTGTAGTTGTTTAGTAGGTACAGTGTAATAATGGAGTGGTAATATAGACATTGCCTTGGAGAAATGCAACAAATTTAGTTAAATACATATTATGTATGTTATATTTTAAGATAAGGGGACGTCTGCTGTTCTGTCACATTACAGAATGGATTAAAGCTGAAACTGGTTACAGTGTCACAGCACTAGCAACATAAATACTAGCTAATGTTAGAAAAGCTGGCAGATACAGTGTAAGTCTTGCCTCAGTGTAAATTATTACATACTTCCTTTTACTGCTGGAAAAGAATACTTTTAGATTTCCAGTCTAATATCAAATGTAATTACATTATGTTATTACCCTTGTGTAATTACATGAGAGAGAATAGGCTATTACAACTACTTAGATACACTAGTGTAATTACATAAAGTGTATGTCTGCAATCCATCTGTAACAGTGAATAAATCATTAGTAGTTACATTGTTGTTGCATATGTTGTTCTTATGTAACTACACAGTTATTAGAGACAACATAAAGTGGGACCAAAAAAAAAAAAAGAACTAGAATAGTGCATTTCCTGAAGATAATGCAAAGCAACTGTGCATCTGAAGCTTGCTAGGTGGTAAGAAGTTGCTATGGCATGAGGGCTGTGAACGAAGTAGTTGTCAGGGGGTTGCTAAGTGTTGTTTAAAATGAATGGTATCCTAAGGGAGGAACAACAGATGTAAAAAAAGGACTCACAGAGGAACGCAAAGCTTGGGGACCTACACTGAGTGAGTATATGTAGTTTAGCGGCTGTCGGGAAAAAGAAAAGAAGGAACTTGTGTAGATATGAAAATAAATGGAAGCCTGAGGAAGGAACGAGAGATGATGAAAAAGCTGTGTTCAAGTACATCATTCCCGATCAGACTGAACATTCTGGATTTGGAAAAGTGTTGATATCTTGAAAACTGAGGGACAAATTATCAGAAAATCTGTCAGAAAAGAAATTAGAAAGAAAAGAACAATGTGCAATTGCTAATAACTGAAATTGCTAATATTTTGCTTGAACATTTGCTAAATAACATTGATATAACTACACCCTCAACATGTCACAGCAGATGTCATATGCTGTCATGAATTGTAATAACAGATGAAGTTTAGTAATATTGTCATGTTTCCATTTCTGGGAACTGTTAAGGTGGAAATATCATAATGTTCGATGTCATGATAGTTAACTGGATATCATAGCAATAAATTAGCATGTGACATTAGCAGTCATGACATCAATCATTGTGACAACCTGACAATTACCAATAATGGTAATTTGACATTTGTTATATTACTGAACAAATACATTTGACATCTGCCATGATGTGTTTATGGAATAGTTATATCGGTGTTATGTAGCAGGGCTCATAAGTAAAGTGTTGCCCTTATAGTCATAAGTGTAATGTTACATAGAGTCAGACATATATATATATATCATAAAGAAAAAAAAATAAATAAAAAAAAAGAGTACAACAACAAGGAAAATAATCCCAGCCATGCATAAAGTCTAAACACAGGCATTGGTCAAAAATCATGAAAGGCTCAGAAATCTGGGGGATTTTGATAGCCAATACTTTGAAGCGTCTAGGAAGACTGCTGCTAAATGGCAGGTAATTAGCTAGAATGACCACCAGGGGGAAGACCAGGAGTCACCATAGCAGAACGGGGACCTCTGGTGGCCAGTACAAAGAATTCGAAGAGTGAACATGACTCAGGACTCAGGACTAAAGCCATTATTATATTCCTGTACATGACATGACCAAATGATTTATGTCTAATTTTATTATTACCGAATTAATAAGTGAATCAACAATGATTGCTTTGACTCAATCCCTCTAGAATGTTTCTCCTGCTGTTGATGTTTATACCGCACCTGATTGTGGCTCCATATGCTGTGATGAAGTTCAGACTCCACCCATTGTAGGTGACTCACATTCTTCAAAATGACATTCTTAAGTCTGTGATGACCTATTAGTGGTAATTTCTTAAATAGGCCACTTTTCAAATGAATGTGAAAATTCTTTGGCAGTAAAATTTCAGTAACACTTTAATGACACTTTCATTCATTTAAATTCAATGAAGCATCAATGACGCTTTTACACTTATGTATGAAAAGATTATTGCATTTATGCTGAAGTTATTAAATGTATTTTCTGTTTTGGTAGCAAATAAATTTGGTTCTTTCTCAGTTTTAATGATTCAGTGACTGTGCTGTATCTTTAGCTGTTATAATATTTGGAGACCATCAAAACTACACATCATCTGAAGGTCTGTAAGATGGTGATTATTATGATGGCTTCCTCTCGCTCTTTTACACAGGTAGTGTTGTACAGGCCCCACGATGACAACAACACAGTTCTTAACACATACGCTACCACTGAAGAGGCATACGTAGCCCTTAGTGATGCAGACTCATCCTTTCATGAAGCGTACCAAGCTCTCGATGACACATACCTGGTTCCTGAATATCTTGAGGAATTGTATGCTGTAAGTGACATCTTAAAGGAAAAGAGCATTTCACCAAATCTGCACCAACTTTACAAATCGTTGCTGTCCAATGAAATACATGTATCTCCATTTTTTGTGATTTTTACTTTTCTGCATCATTTGAGCTCAGCAGCTGTTCTTCACACTGTGTGAAAATTTCATGATGATTGGACCAAAAGAAATGCTCCAAAATTGCTTAGAATAAAAAACTTTTTCTATTAACTTACATTGAAAATAAAGAAGGGTTTTGATCTCTCCTGTAAAGTTGCTATTTTGGAGGTACCTGTTTATCATTTGACAGCGATGGAATGTTCTGCATAATTCAGTGGTTGAGATGTAAACAGAGTCATCCAGAGTGGTTTGATGTGAAATTACACAAACTTATAGGAACCAGGGGTCACAATGTCTACAACACTAATATAGCCACTTTAAATATATATAGCCAAATTATGCCTTTGTCTTCTGAGTTTTTATATGTGACGTCAACAATGATTAATTATTGCTTAATTGAAAAAAATACATAAATAAATAAAGCTTAAAATGCTGTAGTGCCTCCCTACTATAGATTTTTTTTTATCAGAATTCCCTTCCTTTAAGCTCCACCTGGAGTTTGTTAATGCCCATTTATTGATGCACAGTTTTTCTTGGCCATCCTCAACTCTTCAACAGTGACTTTCATTCAATATATATCAAAGTTCACTGTTCATTCCATATATTTCAGTCCATATATATATATATATATATATATATATATATATATATATATATATATATATATATATATACTTTGATTCTCTGCTGACAGCAACAATAAATAATAAAAAGTTTAAAAAAGAAAAAAAAAGAGTACAAACAAGGAAAATAATCCCAGCCATGCATAAAGTCTAAACACAGGCATTGGTCAAAAATCCTGAAAGGCTCAGAAATCTGGGGGATTTTGATAGCCAATACTTTGAAGCGTCTAGGAAGACTGCTGCTAAATGGCAGGTAATTAGCTAGAATGACCACCAGGGGGAAGACCAGAAGTCACCATAGCAGAACGGGGACATCTGGTGGCCAGTACAAAGAATTTGAAGCATGAACATGACTCAGGACTCAGGACTAAAGCCATTATTATATTCCTGTACATTACATGAGCAAACGATTTATGTCTAATTTTATTATTACCGAATTAATAAGTGAATCAACAATGATTGCTTTGACTCAATCCCTCTAGAATGTTTCTCCTGCTGTTGATGTTTATACCGCACCTGATTGTGGCTCCATATGCTGTGATGAAGTTCAGACTCCACCCATTGTAGGTGACTCACATTCTTCAAAATGACATTCTTAAGTCTGTGATGACCTATTAGTGGTAATTTCTTAAATAGGCCACTTTTCAAATGATTATGTGAAAATTCTTTGGCAGTAAAATTTCAGTAACACTTTAATGACACTTGCATTCATTTCAATTCAGTAAAGCATCAATGACACTTTTACACTTATGTATGAAGAGCTTATTGCATTTATGCTAAAGTTATTAAATGTATTTTCTGTTTTGGTAGTAAATAAATTTGGTTCTTTCTCAGTTTTAATGATTCAGTGACTGTGCTGTATCTTTAGCTGTTATAATATTTGGAGACAGTTAATTTTTTTATTTTTCATCAAAACTACACATCATCTGAAGGTCTGTAAGATGGTGATTATTATGATGGCTTCCTCTCGCTCTTTTACACAGGTAGTGTTGTACAGGCCCCACGATGACAACAGCACAGTTCTTAACACATACGCTACCACTGAAGAGGCATACGTAGCCCTTAGTGATGCAGACTCATCCTTTCATGAAGCGTACCAAGCTCTCGATGACACATACCTGGTTCCTGAATATCTTGAGGAATTGTATGCTGTAAGTGACATCTTAAAGGAAAAGAGCATTTCACCAAATCTGCACCAACTTTACAAATCGTCGCTGTCCAATGAAATACATGTATCTCCATTTTTTGTGATTTTTACTTTTCTGCATCATTTGAGCTCAGCAGCTGTTCTTCACACTGTGTGAAAATTTCATGATGATTGGACCAAAAGAAATGCTCCAAAATTGCTTAGAATAAAAAACTTTTTCTATTAATTTGCATTGAAAATAAAGAAGGGTTTTGATCTCTCCTGTAAAGTTGCTATTTTGGAGGTACCTGTTTATCATTTGACAGCAATGGAATGTTCTGCATAATTCAGTGGTTGAGATGTAACAGAGTCATCCAGAGTGGTTTGATGTGAAATTACACAAACTTATAGGAACCAGGGGTCACAATGTCTACAACACTAATATAGCCACTTTAAATATATATAGCCAAATTATGCCTTTGTCTTCTGAGTTTTTATATGTGACGTCAACAATGATTAATTATTGCTTAATTGAAAAAAATACATAAATAAATAAATAAAGCTTAAAATGCTGTAGTGCCTCCCTACTATAGATTTTTTTTTTTTTATCAGAATTCCCTTCCTTTAAGCTCGACCTGGAGTTTGTTAATGCCCATTTATTGATGCAGAGTTTTTCTTGGCCATCCTCAACTCTTCAACAGCGACTTTCATTCAATATATATCAAAGTTCACTGTTCATTCCATATATTTCAGTGCATATATATATATATATATATATATATATATATATATATATATATATATATATATACATATAAATATAATTGTATACTTTGATTCTCTGCTGAAAAAAAAACAGCAACAATAAATAATAAAAAGTTTAAAAAAGAAAAAAAAAGAGTACAACAAGGAAAATAATCCCAGCCATGCATAAAGTCTAAACACAGGCATTGGTCAAAAATCCTGAAAGGCTCAGAAATCTGGGGGATTTTGATAGCCAATACTTTGAAGCGTCTAGGAAGACTGCTGCTAAATGGCAGGTAATTAGCTAGAATGACCACCAGGGGGAAGACCAGGAGTCACCATAGCAGAACGGGGACCTCTGGTGGCCAGTACAAAGAATTCGAAGAGTGAACATGACTCAGGACTCAGGACTAAAGCCATTATTATATTCCTGTACATTACATGACCAAACGATTTATGTCTAATTTTATTATTACCGAATTAATAAGTGAATCAACAATGATTGCTTTGACTCAATCCCTCTAGAATGTTTCTCCTGCTGTTGATGTTTATACCGCACCTGATTGTGGCTCCATATGCTGTGATGAAGTTCAGACTCCACCCATTGTAGGTGACTCACATTCTTCAAAATGACATTCTTAAGTCTGTGATGACCTATTAGTGGTAATTTCTTAAATAGGCCACTTTTCAAATGAATGTGAAAATTCTTTGGCAGTAAAATTTCAGTAACACTTTAATGACACTTTCATTCATTTCAATTCAATAAAGCATCAATGACGCTTTTACACTTATGTATGAAAAGATTATTACATTTATGCTGAAGTTATTAAATGTATTTTCTGGTTTGGTAGTAAATAAATTTGGTTCTTTCTCAGTTTTAATGATTCAGTGACTGTGCTGTATCTTTAGCTGTTATAATATTTGGAGACAGTTAATTTTTTGAGTTTTCATCAAAACTACACATCATCTGAAGGTCTGTAAGATGGTGATTATTATGATGGCTTCCTCTCGCTCTTTTACACAGGTAGTGTTGTACAGGCCCCATGATGACAACAACACAGTTCTTAACACATACGCTACCACTGAAGAGGCATACGTAGTCCTTAGTGATGCAGACTCATCCTTTCATGAAGCGTACCAAGCTCTCGATGACACATACCTGGTTCCTGAATATCTTGAGGAATTGTATGCTGTAAGTGACATCTTAAAGGAAAAGAGCATTTCACCAAATCTGCACCAACTTTACAAATCGTCGCTGTCCAATGAAATACATGTATCTCCATTTTTTGTGATTTTTACTTTTCTGCATCATTTGAGCTCAGCAGCTGTTCTTCACACTGTGTGAAAATTTCATGATGATTGGACCAAAAGAAATGCTCCAAAATTGCTTAGAATAAAAAACTTTTTCTATTAACTTGCATTGAAAATAAAGAAGGGTTTTGATCTCTCCCGTAAAGTTGCTATTTTGGAGGTACCTGTTTATCATTTGACAGCGATGGAATGTTCTGCATAATTCAGTGGTTGAGATGTAAACAGAGTCATCCAGAGTGGTTTGATGTGAAATTACACAAACTTATAGGAACCAGGGGTCACAATGTCTACAACACTAATATAGCCACTTTAAATATATATAGCCAAATTATGCCTTTGTCTTCTGAGTTTTTATATGTGACGTCAACAATGATTAATTATTGCTTAATTGAAAAAAAATACATAAATAAATAAAGCTTAAAATGCTGTAGTGCCTCCCTACTATAGATTTTTTTTTTTTATCAGAATTCCCTTCCTTTAAGCTCCACCTGGAGTTTGTTAATGCCCATTTATTGATGCACAGTTTTTCTTGGCCATCCTCAACTCTTCAACAGCGACTTTCATTCAATATATATCAAAGTTCACTGTTCATTCCATATATTTCAGTGCATATATATATATATATATATATATATATATATATATATATACATATAAATATAATTGTATACTTTGATTCTCTGCTGAACAGCAACAATAAATAATAAAAAGTTTAAAAAAGAAAAAAAAAAAGAGTACAACAAGGAAAATAATCCCAGCCATGCATAAAGTCTAAACACAGGCATTGGTCAAAAATCCTGAAAGGCTCAGAAATCTGGGGGATTTTGATAGCCAATACTTTGAAGCGTCTAGGAAGACTGCTGCTAAATGGCAGGTAATTAGCTAGAATGACCACCAGGGGGAAGACCAGGAGTCACCATAGCAGAACGGGGACCTCTGGTGGCCAGTACAAAGAATTCGAAGAGTGAACATGACTCAGGACTCAGGACTAAAGCCATTATTATATTCCTGTACATGACATGACCAAATGATTTATGTCTAATTTTATTATTACCGAATTAATAAGTGAATCAACAATGATTGCTTTGACTCAATCCCTCTAGAATGTTTCTCCTGCTGTTGATGTTTATACCGCACCTGATTGTGGCTCCATATGCTGTGATGAAGTTCAGACTCCACCCATTGTAGGTGACTCACATTCTTCAAAATGACATTCTTAAGTCTGTGATGACCTATTAGTGGTAATTTCTTAAATAGGCCACTTTTCAAACGAATGTGAAAATTCTTTGGCAGTAAAATTTCAGTAACACTTTAATGACACTTGCATTCATTTCAATTCAATAAAGCATCAATGACGCTTTTACACTTATGTATGAAAAGATTATTACATTTATGCTGAAGTTATTAAATGTATTTTCTGTTTTGGTAGTAAATAAATTTGGTTCTTTCTCAGTTTTAATGATTCAGTGACTGTGCTGTATCTTTAGCTGTTATAATATTTGGAGACAGTTAATTTTTTGAGTTTTCATCAAAACTACACATCATCTGAAGGTCTGTAAGATGGTGATTATTATGATGGCTTCCTCTCGCTCTTTTACACAGGTAGTGTTGTACAGGCCCCACGATGACAACAGCACAGTTCTTAACACATACGCTACCACTGAAGAGGCATACGTAGTCCTTAGTGATGCAGACTCATCCTTTCATGAAGCATACCAAGCTCTCGATGACACATACCTGGTTCCTGAATATCTTGAGGAATTGTATGCTGTAAGTGACATCTTAAAGGAAAAGAGCATTTCACCAAATCTGCACCAACTTTACAAATCGTCGCTGTCCAATGAAATACATGTATCTCCATTTTTTGTGATTTTTACTTTTCTGCATCATTTGAGCTCAGCAGCTGTTCTTCACACTGTGTGAAAATTTCATGATGATTGGACCAAAAGAAATGCTCCAAAATTGCTTAGAATAAAAAACTTTTTCTATTAACTTACATTGAAAGTAAAGAAGGTTTTTGATCTCTCCTGTAAAGTGACTATTTTGGAGGTACCTGTTTATCATTGGACAGCGATGGAATGTTCTGCATAATTCAGTGGTTGAGATGTAAACAGAGTCATCCAGAGTGGTTTGATGTGAAATTACATAAACTTATAGGAACCAGGGGTCACAATGTCTACAACACTAATATAGCCACTTTAAATTATATAGCCAAATTATGCCTTTGTCTTCTGAGTTTTTATATGTAACATCAACAATGATTAATTATTGCTTAATTGAAAAAAATACATAAATAAATAAATAAAGCTTAAAATGCTGTAGTACCTCTCTACTATGGATTTTTCTTAATGATCATAACTTCAGTATAATGTCTAAAACTAAAAAATCTCAAAATTATAGTAAAACAATGTGTCAGACATCAGGCGGTGAACTCATAACCAAATTAATGTCCTACCTTTCTGTGAGGGAGCTTTTAGAGGTGGATATCTCTTCGGACACGGTGTCTCTAGAAAGGAGAATTTCACTACTTATTATAGTTTCATTAACTTTAACTGTTGAATTATGCAAACATTTTTAAAACAGTTCCCCTTTAATGTTGGTAATTTCTAGGTTTTATGTTTATACTGAGCTCTGTTTTATTGGTCAGTCATTATGTCTGTGCTTTACTCTCTCTCTCTCTCTCTGACCTCTTCTTACAGAATGTTCCTACTGATTCTGCTGATTACGCCTACATGACTCATGATGAGGACGGATCTTCTGACTATGGAAATGTATGTTTATGTGTGCTATAAAGACTAATAATAAAAAAATAAAAATAATAATCATAATAATAATAATAATAATAATAATTACTGAAAGTCAAGTGAATGTAGCAGAATACTGAACTATGCTAACAAATTAGCTTACACATTAAAACTACAGAATTATGTTACAAAATACATAACATTAACACAGTTGACCCCTATTATGTGTTCAGAAATGTGCAGTTGATGGTTGTTAATGAAGTTGTCTCATCTGGTCATGTCTAGGTCTACTGGAAACAGACAACCAACTTGTATTGAGACTAGAAGAGTACACATTTTTGCTATATTACTCAAGACTGTTTTTCTTCCTCATTTGCAGCATTGCACTCTGTCTAGATGCTAAAATTCTTGTTCATATCTTTATTACATCTCATCTCGACTGCGGTAAAGTTATTTTCACTGGAAAGTCCTCTAAAACCATTACAGAGCATTCAAAATTGTCCAGCTAAAGTTCTCACAGGCAACAAACAAGGTGTCCTTCTATAGCTTCTATAACTGACACTGATTACTAGTTACTGTACATATACAAGTAAACAATACACAATACACACTTCTTTTAACTTTTAAAGCCCATCAAGATATTTCCTGTTAATTTTTGTCTAAGCTATTCCATTAGGGTTGCCACTCGTTCAGGATTTCTCTGGATTATTTAGGTTGGGTGGTTGGGTGTCTAGGAATTTATAGGTTTGCATGGCAGCCTGTAATCCATCCTTACACCCTAAACTCCCAGATCCTTTAGTCAGGGTTTACTTGTGTTTCCAAAGTTTTGTCTCTGTTTCATGGGTGGCAGATCTTTCAGCACTGAGGCGCTTAAACTCTGGAACAAAAACCTCCCACTAAGCATCTATAGTATCTCCTCCATCTGAGCCGTCAAACCCTAGGTATAGGCTCGCCTGTTCTTTCAGTCCTGTCCATCTTGTTTAGCTATTGTCCAGTCAGATCATGTTACATGGCTGTACCATTCCCATGTCCTGTGTTTTCTATCTGTTGATTGCCTGAAGATGTGTTCTACTTTTTTGTTGTTGAATGACAATCCTTTAAGTACTTTATCCTCATACATTGGTTCTTTTTTATTGATTTGTATGCACCATGTTCTTGGGAAGAAATATATAAAAATAAATCTCAGTTACCATTATTGTTCCTATCATCCATTGCATATTTGTGCTTGCTTGGCCTTTCATTTTAACAATCTCTAACATCTGTCCACAAAATGTACTCTGTCTGATAAATTAGTAGTAGTCTGCATGTTAGTTTCCAAACGGAGAAACAATATTCACTTATTTTGTGTGTGACTTCGAACTAAAGATGAAACATGAAATCTTCATCTTTCTCTCATCACATTTTTGACAAACCCTGATCACATCAAAGTACATGCAGATTTTGTATCTAATGCACTCTCAAAACAATTGTACTATCTGGAGCACTATTGGATAACAAGTTTTGTGTACATTATATCATAAGAGAAGGAAATTTTATTAGGTAATATTATAACAACATATGGTAAAGTTAGGCATTGTAACATCCACCCACCACCCAAGTGACTCAGTACCATTAGTCTTTCTATTGACTTGTCTATGAACAGGAGGCTCATCTGGATGGTCTGAAGATAACTGATGCAATTGAATCATCTCATAATGTCTTAGCAGTTAAATATATTTAGGCAAAGAGTTGCGCCACTGTGAATTTCGCAATGGTGTTGCATCACTGACTTCCCTAGGCAGTAAATGTGGTCATGGTGTTCATGGTTCCAGTCTGTTTCAGAAGCCAACAGCACAACAAGACTTCTCAAACTTTACTCGTGGTAAAAGCTAACAATTTGTGCAATAAACACGTTACAAAAGTTTCACTCTATTGGTTCACTGATAAAAGATGGCAGTAGTTCCTGAATCCTTTGTTTGTGTTAATGAAGTAATTATGTATGGGCCCAAAAAACAAATTAAATGTGCAAAAGAAGTGATTGAAAACTTTGTTGCTCTTTCTGAATTGATGCCATAACATTATGAGAGTCATTTTGGTGAGATGAAGACTTTCTTGAAATAATTGAATGTATTGTAAAACATTTGGAGCAGTGGTGCCCAATCCAACCCTACTTCAACCTTACTTTAACACACCTGATCCAGGATACTTTCAAGCTATTTTAAGAAAGTCTTCATCTCACCAAAATGAGTCTTATAACATTATGACATCAAATCAGAAAGAACAAAGAAGTTTTCAATTACTTTTCCTTTTTGAACATTTAATTCCTTTTTTTGGGGCATACAGAATTAACACTTTAACATAACAACAGATCCAGGATCCACTGCCAGATCTTCCATCAGTGCACCAATAGAGTGAAACTTATGTAACATGCTTATTACACAAAATGTTTGCTTTTACAATGAGCAAAGTTTAAGAAGTGGTGTTGTGCTTTAGGCCTCTGAAACAGACAGGAACCATGAAGACCATGACCACATTTACTGCTTAGGGAAGTTAGTGATGCAACACCATAGCAAATTTCACAGGGACACAACTCTTCACCTTACTACATATTTTTTAACTGCTAAGACATTATGAAGGCCTTCAGGGGCTTCTGACTATTAGAGCCAGGTGTGTTGTATCTGAAGGGTGCTAGATCTCCAGGACCAGGACTGACCACATTCAGCTCCATAACTCATCAGCAAACTCTTAAACAAAACTGCTGAAATTTTTTATAGCAATGTCATGAAAATTGTATGGTCATAAATATTTATTATCTGTTAAGGAAGGTGTTTCATAAATCGAATGTTGCCTTACTTTGGCAACAGTAAAGTTATTAAAAAATGTGAACTATATACATCGATGAGGTATAGCATTACCTTGTTTCTATGCTCGTTGTCCATTTTAACAGCTCCACTTACTATACAGGTGCACTTTGTAGTTCTACAGTTACAGACTGTAGTCCATCTGTTTCTCTGCACACTTTGTTAGTCCCCTTTTACCCTGTTCTTCATTGGTCAGGACCCCCATGGACCCTCACAGAGCAGGTACTATTTGGGTGGTGGATCATTCTCAGCACCGCAGTGACACTGACGTGGTGGTGTGTTAGTGTGTGTTGCACTGGTACGAATGGATCAGACACAGGAGTTTTTAAACATTGTGTCCACTCACTGTCCACTCTATTAGACACTCCTACCTTGTCAGTCCACCTTGTAGATGTAAAGTCAGAGACGATAGCTCATCTGCTGCTGCACAGTTTGTGTTGGTCATCCTCTAGTCCTTCATCAGTGGTCACAGGACGCTGCACACAGGACGCTGTTGGCTGGATATTTTTGGTTGGTGGACTATTCTCAGTCCAGCAGTGACACTGAGGTGTTTAAAAACTCCAGCAGCACTGCTGAGTCTGATCCACTCAGACCAGCACAACACACACTAGCACACCACCACCACATCAGAGTTACTGCAGTACTGAGAATGATCCACCACCCAAATAGTACCTGCTCTGTGAGGGTCCATGGGGGTCCTGACCACTGAAGAACAGGGTAAAAGGGGGCTAACAAAGTATGCAGAGAAACAGATGGACTACAGTCTGTAATCGTAGAACTACAAAGTGCACCTATATAGTAAGTGGAGCTGTTCACCAGTGTAGTTCGCCAGTGTCAGGCCCAGATCATTCAGTAGGTTTCATGGGTGCGTGCCCAGGCACAGTAAATAAAATGAACTTTGTCATTGTATCATAGCCAGTTGTGATTGTGATGCTTTCCACTAAAGTCCACTTCACTTCTCCTCTTATTACTGCTTAACAACCATTACTTTAGTTAAACTTTCAGGCTTTTAGCAGTGAGTTAGCATTCCTTTGAATGTACTCTGAATTTGAAGCCCCAGATATTCAAATGATGGACCTGGGGCATGTCTCAAGTGAGACCTGATATCTTGACAGAGCAGAGGATGACCATTTCCAAAAATATATATAAAATGTTGCTTCATCCTTGTTGGTAGTAGTCTGTGAACTGTCATCAGAGGTCAGATATAAATAAAAAATAGGTTTTTCATGCCTGCTGTTGCATTATGCCAGCATTTAGCCAGGATGCTCGATGGTTTGGGATTTTAAGTTTGCTTCATTTTCCATCTTTTCATACAGTTAAACTGTTTCAATTCAAACCATCTTCATTGGGATAAATGTGCTTGTGAAAAGTGGACGTATGCTTTATCAGGGGGTGTTACATTGGTTGGGGAGTTGGTGTTAAAGTGTGTTTGTGTCCAGGAGCTAGTAACTTGATGATCAGGGTCTGGCCAGTGTGAATTTTAAATACTATTGAGCACATTCACACAATTTATGCATTGTTTGAACCATGTATAAACTGATATGCAATGGTATATGGTATATATACACACACATTTTCTGAAACACTTATCCTTCGAGGTCATGAGGGGTGCTGGAGCCTATCCCAGCAGGCATTGGGTAGAAGGCAGGGAACTGGACAGGCCACCAGTCCATCGCAGGGCATTTTTCCATTTACACAACACGGATATGAAGCATCATTTACCTTAAAGGGCAAAGACCCAAACCTTAACTATCCCTCTGCCTTATAAGTTCCATTCCTTGGAAATAATTCTTTATATTATAATCCTTATTATCAGAGTAAATGTCTATCAATTTAATTTAATGGCCCTTATGTCAGCAAACCTTATTCACTTTCGTATTGGTGTAAGCTGTTAATAAATCAGCATTGCTTTATAAATGCATTATTCACTGTTTATGCATGGGTTATGAAGTTCTTTTGTTGGTAGCCTTCAAATGAAAAGCTACCCTCATTCCAAGAACCAGTAGGCTTTGTTCTTAACACTGCACAGTGCTGTTCTGTTGTTGTCATGCCTATTTTGAGAAGATGAGCAAGAAATATATACTAATATTTCAACACATTACTCACCTCAGTCTGTAGGTGGCAACAAAGCTCTTCCAGAAGCCAGAAGGCTGAGTTGTGCAAGAGTGGTTTGAAATGTGGCTGCTGATTTGTATGGTTAAAGGGTTGTTTGCATGGTGTAAGGGTCTTCAAATTCATGGAATGTTTCATAGACAGTTCGGTATAGAATCTTTTTGAAAAGGGCTCTAAATAGTACCAAAAAGGGCTCTATATAGTACTTGGGTTATTTGTTTCATAACAATAGTGGAATTCTTTTTGGTGCTAGAGAGGACCAAGAGAGGAGACTCAAAGTCTTTGAATAAGAGGTTTTCTGCCTTTACATTTCGAAGATGTGCTGATGACACAACATGGAGTGAAATGCTTAAGATCCAGCTTCACTTTTTTAGTAAAGTGAAGCTATTTTGAATGGCTAAAATCTAAAGAGCTAGCTAAAACAAGAATGCTTCTGGGAAGTCTTCTGCCTAAACAGCTTTTGCTCTTACCACAAGTGAGCATTACATTGCGAAAATATTGCTCAATTTGTCTCATGAGAAAAGGGAATGAAATAGAGAAGTGCTCAGCTGATACACTCTGAACCAACATACCTGTTGGTGGTAAAAACATTCAGTTATGGAAATATTCATGCTCAGCTTCATCGCTAATCTGTGTGCTAACATAATAATGTTAACTGAGCAGTTCAGTCCTCTGTGCTGACTTGGCTGCACCTCCGACCAGCAGGCTTATAGTAAAAGGGAAGAACGAAAAAAAAGGAAGAGGAAGAGAAATCTGTTACTGTTGTCATTGGGGTTTTTACCCAGAGAAAGAGTTTTAAAGCAACATCTGCCCTGACTATGTGGTTATTTTTCTTCTGAGGTTAAACGACAGGCTGTCCAATGCCAAGGTAAGCTACTGTAACATGCTTCATCTGTAAAACCCAATCATACTTGTGTTTAGAGCTTTGAAGAGGTACTTTGATAATAGCACTTATCTTATAATAGCACTTTACAACTTAATTTACAATGATGTAAGTTAACAGTTGTAATGATGTAAGTTAACGGTTGGCTCTTCTGTTGAGCAATTGTGACACTAATCAAATATTGCTGATGAAGCAGTTTAAAAGTTTCCGAAGAACTAGGAGTCTCCATGAGCCGTCATGTTTTGGCAGCCTACATAGTCATAGTGACATAGTTAAGCAATTGAGATCTGAGAGAGGCCACTTAGACATATAGTTTTTCATTGATTTGCAGCTCAGTTTTCAAGATGTCTCTCCAAATCAGTCTTCTGCACCTGCTGTTGTATTACCTGATGGTTGTGGGTGAGTCAGTACTGCTTTCCTGCTTTATTTATTTTTATTTATTTATTTTTTAAATTTATGGTCTGCTTGCTCATACAGACTGTTGACAGCTGAAAGAATTGTCAAATTGTGTGGGCCTAAAAAAATTGGACTGTGATGCAGTTAATAATGTAAAGATCCCATTTTCTGCTTGGCCTAGTTTTCATTTCACCGCATGTTCTGGTGTTGAAAAGATGAAGATAAAGATAAAGTGAAAACTTCATTAAATAATCTTTAATAATCCTCCTCTCACTTCATGATGCTGTTTATCCTTTAGCCTGTGAAAATTGTATTCATTCCCATTCAGCCCTGTTCACATACAGTGGGGTCCACTAGTGAAGACACTTCTCTTTTGCGTTCCTTTCTAATTACAAACTACAAAGTTTTTCATGACAAATTAGAGTATAAGCATCACACTGAGTGTTTGTGAGTTTGTTCAAAGGCCTTAACGCGGCCAATGTCACATATTTGCTTAAATTTCCATAATGACCCAAATTCTAAAAATTTCTGTTGTTTATTTTCAAGTTTAATTGAAAAACATCCTAGTTTTTTAAAGTGGTCTCAGACTTTTGGACCCCATTGTACATTTATGTGTTTATATGTTCAATTTTATTAGATATTTCATTGCTACTAGTCATGTGCAAAAGTTTGGGGGCCCCTGGTCAAATTCCATGTGTTGATTTTCTCAGTGAAAATACGTTAATCCCATAAAATCTCAGGGTTATTACATACTAAGGCTTATTATTCAGTAACTACAGGTACTTCAATGCAAACTGACTGAGCTATTCTTTGGTTATAGAAGTGTGTAATAAAACACTTAAGCATATTTGAATGCAAAATTACTGTGTATTTGCTGAATTTAACAAAATTGAATGGAAACTAAAATGTGCCCTGTGCAAATATTATGGAACACAATATGCATTAAAATTTCCAGAAAAAGCCATGTTTGTCCCCTGCATGAAAATGTGTACTTATTTTCACATAAATTTGACTAGAAGTATTCAAACCTTTGTATATGACTGTAGATATTCAGTACTGCAAATGTCAGAGACCATACTTGATTTTATTCCCAGTCAAAACAGTCATTAATTATTCAGAATATGTTCCACTCTTAAAAAAGATTTTAGAAGTTCTTCAAAAGTTTGTTTTGGCAAAGGTTCTATACAGAACCATAAACACCTAAAGAACTATGCTCTTGCTTAAATGTTTCTCTGCATGGTAAAATGGTTCTTCAGATGAACGAGAATGTCTTACGTATAGTTCTGTATAGAACCTTTTTGAAAAGAGTTCTATATACGACCAAAAAGGGTTCTGCTATTGTACAAGCAATGGTAACAATGGAAGAATGCTTTTTGGTGCTATATAGAACCATATACAATATGTTCTCCACCAATCTGAAGAACTATTTAACCAGAAACATTTAAGCAAGTTCTTTGAGTGTTCATGGTTCTATACAGACCCATCATCTTTGCAAAACACCTCTTTTTTAAGAGTGTAGACAATGCAATGCTATATGTCTGCTGAATGGGTGTGTAGCTGTCAAGATGCTCTTTCTGAGAAAAGGAAAACTATATAGGAATATTGAAGAAACAAATGTAAATTACACAAAGAAGCTGCTGGTGTTTTTCCAGAACAATAGGCTGACCGTTCAGACCTTAACAGTGAATGTGTTTAGGATTACTTGGATCATGAGAAGCTGAAAATGCAACCAACTTCTAAGACTGAACTTTGAAAAGTTAATAAATGCTTATACTTAATATGTAATTAATGGTTGTTTTGACTGGAATTTAAATAAATAAAAGGTTATCACTGACTTTTTCATAGCTTTATTATGAATTTATAGGAAGATGCATCTTCTTTTTCTTCTTCTTCTTATTAGTATTATTTATTTGTAAACATCTACTCTATGCTTATTGTCATGCACTTAGGATGGTCTTCATGCTTCTCTAATCAGTTATTATCTATTATATATTAGTTACTTATCATATGTTTCAGGGGCTTTTGGTCAAAACTGGAGTGTGAAATACAGCCGAACTCAAATATGTGCTTTAAAAGGATCCACAGTGTTTATGTACAGTGATTACAAATATCCATCTCATCTTGAAGTGGTAAAGAAGTTTTGGGCAAAAAATCCAGCCAAAAATGTGGAACCAACTGACCTGACTAAAGATCCAAGATATTCAGGCAGGACTGAATACTATGAAGGTGAAAAACAACTTTTCTCTCTCAAACTGATTAACGTGACAGAGAGGGACGAGCACATGTACTGCCTTAGAATCACAACAAAAAGAGAAAAACAAAAATATTTATATTATCCTGGAGTGACCCTCAACGTCACAGGTCAGTTATATCACAACATTGAATTTCTAACAATAATACAAAATAAATAATGTCTGTAAATTTAAATGGTCAATAATGGCTACTCTGATAATTGCCCTGGACAATTCATGATATAGTTTTTTTCCACTGTAGCACATTTTTTGCAAACCATACCAGAAATTACAATTTGTTGACCACAGTCTTTTTGTTTGCTTGTATTTTTTTCTTCTCTTTCTTTCTTGCAGATTGTTATTTTGTTTCACTGACAGTTTCTCTCCTGATGTTCTTTATCCTCCATCCTCTCAGGCCTCAGAGTGGAGAGTCCTGAACATGTTTCAGAGGGAAATACAACACGTCTAACCTGTAAGACCACCTGCACTCTGACAGACAGACCAACATACATCTGGTATAAAAATGGGCACCGTATCGGAACAAATGATGAAGAAAACAACACCCTCTCCCTGCAGCCGACTAGAATAGAGGACACAGGCAGTTACAGCTGTGCTGTGAAAGGATATGAACATCTTCCTTCTCCTGCTGTCCCACTCAGTGTCAGATGTGAGTACATGCTGTCAGCTTACAATACAGGTTTCTTTTTAAAATGTATTAATAATACTAATAATAATTTACCATCACAAAAAGTATGAGCACACTTGATAGAATTTATGTTGTTCCAATAAACATATGTTATGAAAATATTCTATAGTTTTGGCACAAATAACCATAGAAAACCTGGTTTCTACTGTTGACTCACATTATCACACTTGTAGTTTAAGAATAATGATAACCATCATCCATGCACAGATCCTCCAAAGAATGTCTCAGTGTCCATCAGTCCCTCTGGTGAAATAGTGGAGGGCAGTTCAGTGACTCTGACCTGCAGCAGTGATGGATACCCACCTGTGGACGAGTACAGCTGGTTTAAGAAGAAGCAATTTCTTGGAAAGGGCAAAGATTACATCATCTCTAAGATCAGCTCTGAGGATGGTGGAGAGTACAAGTGCAAGTCTAGCAATGCAGAGAGTCACCAGTATTCTGCTGGTATAACTCTGAACGTTGTAGGTAAGGTTAAATACATTTATTAGCATATATATTGTGTGGCTGATATCGGAACAAAACCTCACATCTCCATTTTTGTCATTGTTCAGTTTTTGACCTAGGTTGAAAGTGCAAATTGCCCTTTACATTGTGGGTAAATTTCATGATGAATAGACCAAAAGTAATGACTTGGTCAAAAGTCTGGCTCCATTGACTTACATTAAAAGTAGTATTATGTTATGTTAAGTATGTTACTAAGTATACAAGGTTTTGTTCCAACAGCAGTGATATTTATTTTTAAAAGCCAAATATTTTTCCTCTTAATGATGTAATATGTGACACCCTAAACTTTTGTCATTTTTCCTTTTTTTTCCCCACACAGTTGGGCCAACTAAAGTGCATCATGCAGTTATTGCAATCATCGTCTCCTGTACAATCATATTCTTTGCTGTCGCCATCGTGTTTCTTATGTAAGCCACTGCAGCTCTGTGAAATATGTTTGCTCGCAACCTTTATTACTTTTGTTAGCGCAGAACATAAACCCTTTTTAAAATCCCAGGCTTATTACATACTAAAGCTTATTATTCAGTAACTACAGGGACTTCAATGCAAACTGGTCGAGCTATTCTTAGGTTGTAGAAGTGTGTAATAAAACCTTGGGCCTGCTGGTGGACCCTGGCCATTTCAGGGGTTAATCTACTCCAGGTGTAGTTAGCAGTAGCTATATTCAAAACAATGCACATGTTTATTGGAAGTTACTTACCTTCCTGTCCACTTAGTAACATTCTTATTCCATGCTAACTGTGAAATGTTATAGTTCGTACTTGCTATGCTTTTTGCAAACCTTGAAAGAGCAAAATATCACATTTCAATTCAAAACAGGAGGAAGAAAATGTACTGCTGGTCTGACAATCACACTTCAAAGCAGGCAAGTCAGTCTACACTATAAAGTCTTTTATGTTGTGAAAGGAAATGTGTCCTCATGTGGACGTTTAGTTGGCTAAATTATTCCAACTGGATTATTGTGGTGATTATGTGGCTAACAACAAACACTTGAAAACTGCTACATTACATTGACATAACCATGTCATAACAATGTCACTGAGTTGTTGTGACAGATTATGTCCAGAAATTTAACAGTGTCATGATATCATTACCAGTAATTCAGAGGGATGTAATGATGTTTGATTTGATTTGATTACAGCTAACTACACACTTAAAAATGATGGTTCTTGAAGGGCTCTTGTAAAAAAATAGAACTATATAGAACCATGAACAATCAATGAACCTTTTGCATGATTAAAGGGTTCTTTGCACTGCTAAAGCGTTCTTCAGATTGATGGAGAATGTGCTGTAGATGGTTCTATATAGAATCTTTTTGAAAAGGGTTCTCTATAGCACCAGTTTCTTTTATAGTTACAGGCTTGACATCAACCTGTTTTGGTGCTAAATAGAACCAAAGAGTTCATTGAGTGTTCATGGTTCTATATAGAACCATTTTCTTTACCAAAGAGCCCTTGAAGAACCATCATTTGTAAGAGTGTAGAATACTGGAATTCGATTATTGAATGTCTGTCATGACAATTACCAGTACTGGAAAATATGACACCATTGCAAATTACAAATCTTTTATGACAACTCATGACATCATGGTTTATGACACAATCATGTCAATGTTATAGCTATATGTTAGAGTAAAGTGTTAATGTACTATTATCCATCTGTTGTCATCCACATTAGTGCTATAATAATCCCACTGGAGTCATTTTGCCAACTAAATGTCCACATGAACACATTTAGCCAGGCATTGTAGCCAGGTTTCAAGTGAAGTGTTGCCACAGACACTTTCACAGCTACTTTTTAGCATAACCAGCTTGCCTAATCCTAATTGGAACATGGTTATGTCTCATTTATTAATAGCAGCACTGATATTTTGTGGTCAAACTATTCCCATAGGGCAGGGGTCGGCAACACGCAGCTCCGGAGCCGCATGCAGTTCTTACACTGCCCTGTTTCGGCTCCGCAGCAGAATTAGAAAATAAAAATAAAATAATCCTCCTTTGCAGTAAAAAAAAGCTCTGCTGATCGTTCAACACAGTTTAACAATAAATGGTCTTAAACACTGGAGTTAATGTAGAACTGCTAATTCACGCTTTAACCCTGAAGATCAGTGCAGACTGCTGATCACCATAGCAACGCAGACAACAGTCTCACCGAGCTAGTAGCAAACAAAAAGACAAAGAGATTTAAGATGAACATTGATAATTTGGAGATGAATGGACTTATTTGCATTTATAATCACTCCAGCTGGTTTCCTGATACGTTTAATCTGCAAAGAAAAACTGACAAACACTAAAAAGTCACAAAGCTAAAGTCACTTCTTGTTTGCCAGCATCTTGTTCACATTTTCCCGTTCCAGCATTTACATTCTGGTTGGATCATTTAAGGTGGAATGGGAAAATTCAAACAAGAAGCTGGTGAATGAGAAGCGACTTCAGCCTCATAAAAAGTCAAACCTTGAGAGACATTTTACAGAAACTATTCTACTTTTGCGGAAAAGTTTCCTGCTGGAGATGCGAGAGAAGCAGCTATAGCTTTGTTAAAGCTTAAAACGGAGCAAAGTAAGTCTGCATTTTCATTTTTTTTCTATTTTTTTATCCTACCCTAGTACATTAGTACATACTGAGACATATTTACAGCCAAGAGGGTAAAACATTACTTCAATAAAATGGATACAAAATGTTGTGGCTCCAAAGATGGATTTTTGTTGATAGGACAAAATGGCTCTTCTTAACATTTGGGTTGCCGACCCCTGATCTAGGGCATCGATATGTTTTAAAATGCCATTTGAATTCCACTGTCTCTTTTCTTTAGTTCATATTTAGATGCTTTCTCATTGTTTAGGAGAATATTTATAGCAACATGGCTGTCCAAACCCCAACTAAAGGCACACCACAGTCTAATACTGGTCCAGTCTATCAAGATGAAAATCAGTATGCCAGTATTGCACACCATGACGATGGTTCTGCAGTGAAAGCTTCTGCTTCTGGGGCTGTTGAGGAGGTTCACTATGCCAGTGTCCAGCACCGCCATGATAAAGTGGTAAAGAGAGCTCCAGAGGAGGAAAACGTACAGTATGCTAGTGTCCATTTTAACCGTTCACCCAGGTAGGGTACCATCATGTGGTCACCTCATTCTTTTTTCACATGTAAACCCCTTACAATGACATCTTTCAGAGTTTCAAACTGTTTTCACATTAGCACTACCCTCCACAGGCCTGCTGAGATAGTGGATGATCCTTCAGTGATCTACAGCACTGTCAAATGATCATCGCTAACAAATTCTGCAGATGCAACAATAGCTGGCATCTATTCCTGATTAATATCTTCAACATAGTCCTCTGGAGTAATGGTCACCAACCCAGGTCCTCGGGGTCTTCATTCCAGTGGAATCTTGTTTCAACCACAATCTGACACAGCTGCTTCCTTTTTTAATGTTTCAATAAAATATAGGAAGATTTTTGAAGTATTTAGCAGTCCAGTTTCCATTCTACCTTAACTCCATTGCTTAATATAGGTAAATCTTTCCAGCCAGAAAGCCAAAGCATGCCTTGGTGTGCAGCTAATGTGGTGCAAGACAGTGAAAGTCTAATGCCTGTAGATTGCATATGGGGTAAGATGCAATGCCCGTGGCTTTATGCTGCTCTATTGTGCCATCTAGTGTTGTTATCAAACTGTATGATTTAACCCTCAGAAACCCAAGCACTGATTTTGTTGATGTAGTTTTTTCTTTTGGGAACTGTTTTTTAGGAAGCCACTGACCATTTGTGCTGATGTTTCTTTACAAAAATTAGAAGAGACTTATCCAAACTGTTTTGTGTTTGAGGAGGTTTTGAAAGAAATGTCTGAACACGGCCATAGAAGAACGAGGCCGCAGCACCAAAGAACAGTTAAAAGTCTGGAAGCAAACTTTAAAGAATCCGAAGACACAAACCAAAGAAGTGACTGAGCCCTTTTTATGGCTCAAAAACATTCTGGGTGACGAGCCCAGCTGTCAGTCAGTGAAGCCTCATGATGGCTCCTGTGATGCTGGTGAAGATGAAGCTGAAGCCTCTGGGAGCGGCTGGCGCTCGTTGGCAGTCATGATTCTTTACCTACGGATGAGCCACATGAAGCAATGTGAAGTGTATTGTTCTTTTGCGCATGTGGGTCAGTTTAGGAGCTGATCTGTTCAGATTGATGTTACATACAGATCACATTTAAAAGATAATATGAACAGCCAAACAAAATTTGGTGAGAAAATCTGATTTGGGCCACTTTTACCTGGTTGAAGCCTAATCGAAGTTTTTTAATGAGATAATTTAAAGGGAAAGTCTCAAAATACCAACCAAGCTAAATCCAAATTCAGGAATTTGCATTAAAAAATGTGATATTATGTCAATAAATTTCCCAAAACCTAGTCAAATGAAAAAAATGTTTTCCCTTAAATTTCATAATCAGATCCCATATGCAAATCACTGG